GGGAGCGGGAGGCGAGAAGTGCCCTCCCGAGCCCCGTTGGTTTCTTGGCGGCGAGAAACTGAATTTTCCCTGTGGAAATGATAAATCTGGGTTATCACCCTTGAGCGATATGCGGCTCCTCTCGGGGATCCGGTGGGAAAACGTGTGCCGAGCGCTCGGGCGTCCCGATACACGGTGCCGGAAAGCGCAAGGGTTTGGTTGCTGACGACGGGAGGCTCCGAGCTGGTTCCACAGTAGGGAAACACATGGGACACCCCAGAAATCTGGGTACATAACACTCCTGGAGGGGCAATTTGGCTGTATTGTGTATAAACGTGGCTGAGTTCCTGGATTTGCATCTTGGATCTGTTTATTCCCCTCCCGGCTGTGCTGCTCATCCTTTCCACCAGCATCCCGTATCCCTCTGCGCAGGGCTTTGGGGGCAGGATTTCTGAGAGTTTCCTCACTCCTCAATATCCCTCACCTTAAATATTTCCCTGAAACTTTTCTTTTCTTAGCCCAGGATGCTCGATATCCCCACATAGCCCTCTTTAGCCGCCTTAGAGCTTTCCCTATGGGAACAGCGTGGGATCATCTCCTCTCCCGTGAGGGTAAACTCCTTTTTTCCGCTCGCCCCGGCAGTGTCTCCAGCCGCCGAACGCCTCCGCTACATCCTGGGGGAAGACGATGAACCTCCCAACCCCACGCTCTTCACCGAGATGGACACGCTGCAACACGACGGCGAGGAGATGGAGTGGAAAGAGTCAGCCAGGTCAGCAGGAGAAATCCTTTGGGTCGAAAATGTGTCCGGGGAGAGATGCGCCTCGCTCAAATATCCCCTGGGGTCAGGGGACGAGCTTCATTTTTAATAAAGTTTCAAACAAAGCCGTGCCCGGATTAGGGAAATGCAGCAAACGCCACCTTTAGGGCGTTTCTGCTGAGGAGGAGGAAGGGAGGAAGATTTCCCACCTCGTCCCGCATCGCCCCAGTTTGGCTCGACCCCAGAGATGGGGTTTCTCCCGTTCCCAGTTGCGGCAAGGACTGGGGAAGGTGAGAAGAAATGGGGAAACGTGCTGGGAAACAGGAGAATAAGAGCAGAGAGCTGGGAAATGGGGATGTAGGAAATAAAGACCAATTTTCCAAGTCTTTCCCCCTCCATACACACACTTTTCCCGGCCAGGCCAAGGGTTAAACTTCTCCTATCCCTCAAGCAATAATAATAAAAACCCACCCAGAGGAGCTGCGAGGTTTACTTGATTTGGGGGCTCGTCCAAAGGAAAAACCTCAAATCCATGTGGGATTTTCTTCTCCTGGCCTCAACTCTGAGAGAGTTGGGGGGTTCTGGGGAGGTTTGTGGCATCCTGAGCCCTTTCCTTTCAGCAGCATGGGCAGGATTTCCGAGTCCGAGTGTGAACATTCGTCCAAGGAATGGGGAGAAAAGCCAGATCGGGCGCTGTGGGTGCTCATCCCATCTTTTGGACTGGTTATTGCCACCACCAAAAACTTGGAAAACCCTTCAGCATCCTCCTGCTCACCAGCCCTGCTCAAAACGCAGCAGCCCGGGGATGCTGTTGCCAAAATTCTTTCCTTTTCCCCCCGAATTTTGCACAGGTTTCTATCTACTCATCCCTTCCTTCTCCCCAAAAAACTTGGAAGGCAAAAAACCCAATGCCTGTGAGGGGATTTTTGTCAGAGAGGGCTTGAGGTGGAGGCTTCCAAATTCCCACCGGGAGGACGGAGGTTTCTCAAGTCCCAGATTTCCGCTCTCCAGCGAGGAGCCCTTCAACCTCTTTAGCCGCAGGAGAGCAGCTCCTTGGTGGGAGCAGCATTACCTGCGGCTAATTCCGCAATAAATGGAAATAAAGAAGCCGAGCGCAGCGGGGAGAGATGAGGTTTGGCTGTAGCCTTGGCAAAAGCATCACGGGATGCCTGACTAGGGTAAAAGCGCTGCTGGAAATGTGCCTCGAGTCCCCCGCACTGCCCCAATTCGCCGCCCCGTGTGCGTGCTAACCCACTTTTGGCAGGAAAACGGGCCGAAAAAAAGAAACGAAAAGCGACCTAATCGGCTTTGGGCGAGCCCCGACGGGGCTTAGTGGGTGCCTCGGCCGGCGGGAAGCTTGAATTTCCTCCCAATAAAAGCGGCGTTGTTTGAAGGGCTGGAGAAGAGGTTTCTGCGAAGAAACCAGCGTGGAGAGCTTTGGAGCAATGGGCTCTAGGGGTAAATTTTGTGTTTTCGGGTGGGCTGGGGTTTAGTCTCACAGCTGATACAACCCCGGGCTCTCCCCACAGCATTTGGGAGCCGTCACCTATTTCCAGAACCCCTTCTCCTCCTAACTCCTTCCCATCTGTGCCCCCTGCAGCAGCAGGAACCCAAATCCCAGTTGTACCAGTTAAAAGTTGTCAGGTTAAGCCCCGCGAAGGCTAATCCACGGAGCCTGCAAACCTCCTCTAAAGGAAAAGCAGCTTTCTTCCCCAAATCGACATCCTCCAAAGAGCTGCCTGCCCTCCCCAGAGCCTGAGCCCCGTTCCTGGGGAGCTGGGAAAAACGAGCCACCGTTCCCCAATTTGCCTTTGGCTTGGAAAATCCAGGAAGGGAGGTGGAAGAGCTGGTTTCCAAGGACTTCCAAACACTTTCATCTCCCACCGTGGGGATGAAACAACCCAGCTTGAAGCCTGGCCATTGCTAAGGAATTAAAAAGACGGTTGCAATGCCGATGGGGTTTGGCTTTCCTGCATGCACAGCTGAGCTGTGCGAGTGGAGGTATTTAAAAGGTGTGGAGACGTGGCTCTTTAGGACATGATGTATAGACTCCTAGGATCAGTCAGGTTGGAAGAGATCCCTGGGATCATCGCGTCCAACCATTCACCCTTCTCTACAAAGCTCATCCCTAAACCATCTGCCCCAACCCCACATCTAAACCACCTTTAAACCCCTCCAGGGATGGGGACTCCACTCCCTCCCTGGGCAGCCTGTGCCAGTGGCTGACTGCTCTTGCTGGGAAAAAACTTTCCTACTG